TTATTTCACATCTGGTAGCATTTTGAGAACTATCGGACTGGCATATTTAAACCCGCTGAGTAATGCTGCTGAATCTCCGATCTTTGTCATCGATAGTGTCATCAAAGGGATATCTTTCAATGTAACATGCCAGGTCCCGTTTTTTTTCCAAGAAGCGAAATTGCTCATTTATGTCAATACCGAAAGCATCTGCGACAAATCTATATTTACACCACCGTAGGTATTCCCTCGATCACGACATACACACACATGGGATATTGCACCACGAACGGTAAGATTTAACCGAATTTAATTGGAATATAACCGTGAAGATTCCCACAAAAGATCGGTAATAATTGTTCAATTCTAAAGTTCTGAACATACAACAAATGTACACTAATTGGCATGATATGATAGTACATAATCTAGTATAAAATTTTTACATCATTTTTCTGTGTAGAAATGTAGAAACAAGTTAGAGTTTCAACATGTTGCTTCACAAAGAGAAATACATATACAATATGTATTTCGGTACACATATTTTTATAAAAATGAGATCAAGGATCCGTATCTGCTCGTCAATGTCAATATCAACAGTACGTTGCAATGAATGAAATCATTGTTTAAGAATTGGGTTAAGAATTGTTCAAATAATACGACTAGGTACTTCATACAACTTTTGATAATCATAATCGGTTGTTGATAGATTAAACTTCAAATAATCTAAAGCAGTCAGATCTAAATTATTTACAATCGGTATAATTGCTTTAAACTTATCAGAAAAAAAAGCGCAGATATGTAGGGGAATACATTTTGTTTAATTTTACAAATCTTTGGGGTTTGGTGTCCAAAATTATAAGAATTTTTTCCCTTCCTAAGTTCTGCTGATTCAGTTTCCCTTCTGCCTTTGGTGGCACTGAATCGAAGCCATATTTGCGACGTTCTTTGGAAAAAAAGTTAAACTCAAGCACAGCTGTTTTATGTCATCGCTCGGTTTCCACTCTGTGCCGGCTGTGAATACTCACGGAGTACCGTCGAGATGAAACCAGACACCACGACTCAGTCCGCTGTCTCTTTCCCCGTCGTTACGCGAACCCTACGACGGAGTCGTTGAGTAATATTTAGTGTTAGTTGCTGGTATAGGTATACTGTGCTTGATATCAACCGGCGTAGAGATTTGTTTCTGATATAATAGTTTGCTTTGCAGAGTGTCGGATTACTTTGGATTTCCTTTTTTTTTCACTGAAGGTAATATCCACTAGTTCTAGATCGCAATGGGTAGCATCACGCTGATTTCTTCCTGACACTTCATTTTTAGACATTTTAGAAAGCTGTGAAAATACCTAAGCGAATGTAAAATCCATGTTTTCCCAAGAGAAAAGATTTTAAAGTCACATAATCCTGTTTACCCACTTTTTAACTTTTCCTGCGATAAATTTCACCTAATTAGTATTAGTTCAAGCACAAACATGACCTAAAAGTAGTGGTTTATGACTAGAAGTTATAATCTTTCTCGCTTTTTAGTTCATGTGAAGCTTAAAACGAAAAACAAAAGCCAAATTTACACAAACTACATGACAGGGCATAACTAAAATGCTTAGCAAAACTTCAATCACTTTTTAACTATTATTATTATTATACCGAAGGTATACTGAAAAAATTACGTGTGGCCGGTAATCTCGTGTAGATAAATTTATGCGTATTACTGCTTCCGCTCGAGATAATAACATATAATAATTTTGCAACATAAACAACAATGTATGCATGTCGTTATATAAATAAGTACTACCTACACGAAACGAAGTTTCACGCCAAAACCAGCTGTAACGAAATTACGCTTTAATTCGATGAAGTATTTCCCACGATATTGAAATCCACAGTTCTCAATCGTTAGGCAACGTAATCACGGGGATATACTTTGGAAACTCTTTCCGAGATTTTGTCACCTATATAGAACCGTAAGTAAAAATATTTATTTAGCTTTCCGCAAATGTTTTCCTGCGTAATAAATGTATATGCGTGGGGATTTAATTGTTTAGCCGATAATCCTGCCAACCTTATGAAGAGGCGTGTTTAGTTGTTCTTACAGATTGTGTAAATTTTAATGGTTATTACTTGAAAATAGTTGTTAAAATAGTACGTCTTAAATTAGACGCATCAAAAATATGATTTATGTAACATTAATATTTTAGGTACTTAAAAGTTAATTTAGTAAAATCGTGAGATTACTGCACGAAGGAAACTGTTATTGCATTTACAATGACAGTATTGATCGAGACATCCTCAAGACTACGAGAAACAGGAAATAGCTCTTCTCCAATATCGACCAAAATGGATGTTTAAATATTGACAGACGCAACGCAACGCTTGACGCCGCCAAAAACCAATGATTGGTGAGGACCTCACAAATCGTATCTGTATAAACAAAGGCTTAATTACAAGATAAATAGATCGCCGAGGCTGTCAATTAAAGCACTTAATCGCATGTTAATGGGCTGTTTAGATAAAAAAATGACCGTCCAAGTTGTCAGCTATCTGTTAAGTACGTTAGAACCAGATCGAATGTCATTAAAATGTATGAATGTATACACGCTCGGAACCGATCTGAAATTTGTAGTTTTTTTCAGTTATGTATGCGTTACACCGCAATCGAGTTGCACAAAACACGCTCGATTAATGCAAGGAGTATATATCAATCGATAGCTCATTTGTTGTCACATGAAACGCCTTTTACGCTACATGTATTGCATACACAAACTATTCATCAAATCTATCGATTCTCTATCAATTTATTACCTTTCTACGAGACTGGAATATACATCATTTCACTCGTCGCCACGAGCTTTAGTAAAGCAAAAAATATAATGATTCGAAACATTGGTAAAAATTATGAAAACTGAAATCATCGCATCGGAGGTCAAATTTGACATTGACATTTTTAAATTGTAAGGTTAGTACACCTATTGTAATGCAACGATTCCATTTTTGACCTAGTTTTGATTATTTACACAGCAAAGTATACATATCGATAGCTTATAACAGAAATGTGACCACCAGCTGATAAAACATGGAAATGCGATAGATAAAATTTATTTTTCGAGTAAAATAGGTTAAACTTCCATAAGCACGCGTTAAAAAATGATGGTATACAGACGGAATAGGTAGAGGTAAAATCCAATATTGCCGTGGCATAAAAGAACACGCTGTAGAGAAAACTCATAATCGTAATTGTTAATTACATTTCTCGCTCGTGGCGCTGTACAGCACTTACACCCTTCTTGATGAATATTAAACCCGAAACAGCCATCCAGATTTGAACTTTGAAGAGTAGTGACCTCTGACATTTCCCTACATTGAGGGCATGATTACGAATAAAATAAAACAAAGAACAGCCCTACTTCCACGTTTATAACGAAGAACGTACAGTTGGGCAAACCTTCGTCAATTTCATAACCATCACCTCATAGGGAGAACTCCATTATACGCAATGGTATGTACGTTTATAACGCTAAATGACTAAGTGTCAAATTTAACATGTTTCTGTTTTGTTCAGCTTTATTTACCACACAATTTTTTATTACTTATCCCATCGTTGACAAAGTTCAAAATTGATTAAACGAATTAGCATATTTCCCTTTATAAAATCGTAGAAAAGTCTAGTTCTGATAATATTCGCCTACAGAAAGATTTAGTCAGTTTCGTACTATATCCCACTCATTCCGTTTCACTGCGCTGATGCAGTGCCCCAAAAACCATGAATGAATAATGCGTTGTCAGCTCACAAGCGTGTTGCACTTGGCAGCTTTGCGACTGTCTACAAAGAAACTATTTTATTGTAAGTGGGCTCGAATTCGAATATGCATATGCATTTGACAGCTACCGCGTCTGATATGGATAAACCTCAGGAGTCTAAAGGAGACACAGGAGATTAAAAGCCGTTAGGAATATATGATCTAGAGTTTAGATAACGAAGACATACCGCACATAATGCAAGTCTTCTACAAAGTTTTCATTCACGGAAAGAAAAATGATGTGGATTTTCATGAAATTGTCATAATTTCAAGTAAAATAAACACCAAATGCAATAACAAAATTTACTGTTTTTATGGTAATGATTTATTCGTAGTGTGCGATAATTACCTTTTTTCCTGTTTTTTTTTAAATTTGTGGAAAAGATGAAAAAAATTTTTTTCGAAAAATTGCGGTTATAGGAAATTTATACAAGTTTTCGAAACTGCCCTTCAATTCTCTGTACGAATATTTGTCACTGAGATATTGATGATTGAAGACAAAATGATCCTTTTTCCATTCCGATATTTCGATGAAAAATGGTCGTATCGAAATTTAAAAAAAAAGGAAATTGAAACCGAATAAACAAGCTGTCTGGTCCATGCAATGACTTAGCTGAAAAAAATTTTCCAAGATCGTGGATCGTAGCTCCTAAAAAATTTCGACCGAAAGATCTAAAAACTAGAATCTTAGAGCTTCAAAATGCTTTTTTTTAATTCTCGATACGACCATTTTTCACCAAATTACATTCTGTCAAAAATCACCGAAAAATTTCGGAAATTCTTTGACCCTTTCATTTTTTGCATTAGTGTATAATTTATTTACTGCAGACATCGTGTACACACAAGACACAGTCATTAAGAAAAAACACCAAGAAGTTGATTGAACTACCGACTCGATCGAATAAAAAAGCGAATAATTTTTTCTACTACAGGTTAAAGCTTTGAGAAAAATTTTGCAATCTAAGTAAATATTTACCAAACGTTTCAGTTCGCTCATCTTCATCACTAACTAATACGTTATAAACTTATGAAAACCAATTTCCATTTTGACGCGTTTTTCCCCAACATAAAACGAGATTTATTCTGCCAGATTCCGGTTATAGTACCGACGCATCGTACATCAACGTACATATTAATAAAGACGTTCCCGATACGCGTTTTTGCGAATGCGAATCGAGATCCATAATTCATTGCGTTGATTTCTCCTAACCGCGTTAATTTCTGTTGCAGACACAGCCGCAGCCGCCACAGCGTCAGTGAACGACAACCCGGCAACCGTCAATACCTCGTCCCCGGTCAACAAAAGAAGGGGATTCAGCGGGTGAGTACTGAAAGATGTTACTTTTAAGTTTCCTTTGCTCCATCCTGTTTCCTGGACTTTATAGACACAGTTTATTCCTCCTTGCAACACTCTCACAACTAACACAATAAAACTTCAGTAGTGAAGTCCGCTTTAGGCCTGGAGAGGTCCTACATCTCTGCGGACCCATCAAGGAATGTGATTTAACGTCGACCCTGTTATAAAAGCCTGGCCAGTATATGTAATACAACACAAAATTCTTATTTGCGTTATATACAATCAAATAAGAAATCGAACTAATTTATTGCAATTGGTAGAATTTCATATGACTGCATTACTTTTTACCAAAACAAGTCAGTCCAAAGACTGAAGGCGAAGCTCGAGTATCTTTCTCGGATAACGGTCTTTACTGCGAGCCAAATTTCCGCCCCGTCGACTGTTGAATTCCGACAGACTGATGCGTTGTTGTTTCCCGTAGATTGTAACCTGTAGCTCTGTGGAGCCGGGCTATCTCTCTAGCAGATCAGACTCGGTCGCGCGATATGCTAAGCAGTCTCCTGGCATGCTACTTTCACAGACACGCAACTGACGATGACCTTTTTGCGATACCGCGTTCTGGTGTCGATTTGGTGGCGGCGACGTAGCCACACAACGAAAAGTCTTGAATTTCCAAAAGATGGTTCATGGTCTAATCAAATTGTGTGCCAATTCTGCAAAAAAATAATGATTTCGCCTTTGAGAAAACGGTTTGGATAATTGGTGGAACAAGAATAACGTAATAATGTGGTTTTTTGAGGGGCTAGGTTGTCAAATGTCTATTAAGGTAGGTTAACATGATACTTAGTACACTGAAGAACAACTTGGATCAAGAAGAATGTGCAATGCTGAGGAGAAAAAGCTTTAAAACGAATAGAATTAAGAATTCAATAGACTTTGACAAGTCTCGGTCAGTTCCAAGACTCAAAACCTTCTTTAAAAGTGTACTTGGTTCAATAGAAGGTACATTCTGTTGTTTCTGCAGAACAGCAGCTGGCAACGCCGCTTTCCCTAACATTATTAGGCTGCGGACTGTTACGGCTCGTGTTTCTTTATTCAATATCCTTCGCCATTGTAATGTAATGAATGTATGTGCGCCTTCTGCGGATAAGGATAATAGCGTTGTTTATTGGCTTCTTTCCTTGGGGGAAAGGGGGGAAAGGAAGCGACTTAACGGTAAATAGATTTCGTCTGTGCAGTTTCTTACCTGTCGCTTATTCGTCTGGTTGCGGTGCGGTTTTTTCGCGGTATCGGAAGGTGCATTCTCTCGCTGCTAGTGCAACAAGATCATGCCCCGATGACAAGTAAGAAATTAGCCAACATTTTTCGATCGTCGCGCAGGATGCTGTGCCGGTTATTTATTTCAAATGCGCTTGGAATATCTTTATTAACAAGAGTATATCTGCAAGGTCAAATATGATTCAAAAACATACATAAAAAAAGAATTAAATCGATATAACAATTTTTTGAATTTTGATTTAAGTACGAGGATTTGTTCAGTTTGGCTTAAACATGCAAGGGGTTATAAGGTTTTTGTTTAATGTAAAAAAATGACATTTGTTTCATTTTGCTCCATAAAAGTGTATCTATCTATTTGCCATGAAAAAATTATGGGACTTTGTGAACAAAATATGGATTTCAGGATCTTAGAAAACTGTGTTTGTTTGTTAAAAAGTACATTCCGTATGAAGTTTCTTGCGTTTAATTTTTTTTTAACTTTATAAGTGTATTATTTTTGCGATAGACTTCTAATTAAATCAATTAGACGCCTAAGTGGATAAGTCAGCATAAAAATATATCTAATTATTGGTTTGATATTAAAAGTGCTATTAGTATCATTTCTATACACAAAGCTGGCGTACGTCCTGAATTTTAATAATAAATTAAACAGGATATTATATTTTTTAAATAATGTCATACAAGAGGACACTGTGACCTTCACACTTTAAAAATGTCCAAAGTAAAGTTGTGAAATAGCCACCAAACTGTCCGATCTGAATCCTATTGAACATTTTTAAAACCTTCGATAAAACTACATGTTCCAAGAACTGATTTCAAGTTGTACTTGATATACGTTGTATTGAAGCGAATCTTCTGGTTATTTTTTAATGAAATCACCTTTAGGTGACGGTTTTTATCTTATCTAGTGTGTGTTCTAGATATATTTACGACTCGGTTCGCACCTTGCTCAAAAATAGTTTGCATTGTTTTATTTAATTTCAAAGTACGTCGGGGTGTCGTGACCGATTCGCTATGGGTCGGGTGAAACGATTTTTTCGAAATCTGTGCGCCTGTAAAAAATCCAAGTGCGATTGCAGCAGTTCTTGTGATTTGAGCATGAAAAAGTAAGTTTGCCAAGTGTCAGTCTATACATTCCAACTCGTTTAAAGTATTAGTTTTCTTTTGATCATAATTAGAAGACGCTTTGAAAGGAATACGCGTTTTTCTTGGTATGTTTTTTATCTGTCACGTAACTTCGTCTCCATTATAAATATTTCTGACAGAATACTGACGTCATGCTGTAATAGTAAAATTGAGTAAACAAATAAATGTAACCTTTAAGCTAGGGGATTTACTAGTTGTGCGCGTGTCTTTGTAGCTAGACATGATGGTCTGTCTACCTATACGAGTAGAATTCTATAAGTAAATTTTGTTAATATAAATATTATGTTATTTACCATTTTGGAGCAAAACGGAGTAGATTTTTTTTGCAAGAAAATACAGACTCTCCTTCAGGAGCATGTTAAGAAATATTTGTTGTCTGGACTCTTGAACACCTTGTATACATGAAGCAAAGCGGGTCAAGTAGAATGCAAATATGTAAACCTGACCTTTGTGGATCATATTAAAAATTATTTTGTTAATTGATTTAACACTAAAGTGCGAACTAGTGTATATTTAATATAAATATGTTAAATGTGTTGTTACGTAACATTAAAATAAATCCTGGTCATATTTTATCAAAAACGCTTTGTTACCGCAAGTGATCTAAAAGCATGCGTACTGTTTAATTTTCCCACCGCAAGTTTAGATATTAAAAATGTGAATTTCCAGCAATACTTTAATTTGAATATTTATGGGAAAGTCCGACTTCCAATTATCCAATTGTTAACGGAAGGAAAATTATTATGACACTAATTTATATCGTAAATAAACGAGCCATCGCTACTTTTTTTATACAGAGTGAGTCGACAGAATCGCACCAAACTCCAGGAATGAATTCTACAAGTCAAATAATAAGAAAAAACTCCAATGTTTGTATACGATTTTCATTTGTGTTCAACCTATGACGTAGATTTCAATAAAAAATATTAATTTATTGATATTCTATTAATCATAGCGTTCTGTGATGAAAACACCACAATGGCTCTGTGTACACCTCACATTTAAACGAGCCCCATAACAGTAATCTAGTACTGTGAGGTCTGGAGATCTTGGAGGCCAACTAATAAGACCACAAAATCGGCCTCTAAGTCTAGGTATCTTTCACAATCAAATATAATGAACATTTAGTCTCCTTTCCGGAATATTTGAACAACTAAACATCGCCACATATGAGCTGCACGTTTATCAAAGCGCATTTGCCTCTCATTATTATAATGATGTGCTATCAGCAATGTGATATTCATATGCTTTGATTATTACTCACCCGCTTTTGCTGATTTAACCCAAGCTCATATGCAACGCTGTTGCTCTAATTGGACCGCTGGTTGACGTGGGCTTTTAGTATTCTCCCAATTTAGTTTAGTTATTATTATTTAACCTTGTACAACCGTGACGAATAAGTTCATACTGCTTTGTTTACTATCAAATCAATTCTTGGAAATTACTTGTGATTATTTTTACTATTAGGTACCCCGAACGCTTTAAAAAACAGCTGGATAATTTACAAAAAAAAAAAAGCATTCACGCAATAGGTTTTCTACTACCCAGAGCAAAATATAGAACTGAATATTAGTTTCTTGTATTTAAATATGTCATATATGAATTTGAATTAATAATGATATCCAGCGCTATCCGATAACTGTTGTATCTTAATCGTACAGAAAAAATCAACACTACAATTAGAAATTAACCAGTTTGACTTTGTCTTGCCTTAATAGGAAAAACCTTGTTAGGCTTCTGTTTTCCTAAACTAGTCATCGAAAATAATCGTCAATCAATATTGTTAAACTGAGAATTGGCACAAGATTATGAAATTACATAAAGGTTAGGGTTAAAGCCATGATGTAGAACACTTTCACAAATTCTAACAATAGTTTTTTTTTCAAAACAACTGCTCAAATATTTTTTTTTACAATAGTAGTCAGATATTTGTACAGAGTGAAATTTAAAAAATGTAATAAAACAAACAGGACACTCTCTGTACAGATATATCTATGTGATTTATTTATATTAATTAATATGTCATATCCTAAGGAAAATAATCGAAAAAAATGTAATATTCATACTTACTGTATATCACAAAAATTTCGAAATTTCAAATGGTAAACTTTGGAAAACAACTAACATTTAAAGATAACGTTGTTTTCCAAAGCACACTTTCCAAATTAATAAAACTACCCTGTATTAAGTTAAACACGATTATTTGTATTATTAGACCTATAAAAGTTTAACATGTTATTTATCTTTAAATTTATAATTAAAAATATTATTTGTTGCAACTACAAAAAGGTTTGTCAAAAATAAGTACTGGTGAAATCAGACTCCGGTCAAAAAAAATTAAACAAATCAATAACTCCGAAAAGTTTGTAATAGAATCTTAAATCAATTTCTGAAGTTTTTCTTAAAAAAAATGTTTTTTCGGACATATATGTTTAAATTGGTGTTCAATTGTTTTTCTGATTATACAGAGTGTTTCAGAAAGACCTCCCGTAAATTCAGGGGGTGATAGTACGACAAAAAATAAGAATTTTTTGTCTTATGAACTATATGTCTATCTCCTCTAATTTTCGAGATACAGAGCGACACAAAATAAAATTTTTTAAATAGAATTTTTACGAAAACTAGCGCCCTCTATGAAATATCCAAAAAATAATTAGACCAACGTATTTGGCGTCCTTAAAAACCCCCGAATACCAAATTTCATAAAAATATTTCGCACCGTTTGGAAATTTTCGTAAAAATTCTATTTAAAAAATTTTATTTTGTCGCTCTGTATCTCGAAAACAAGAGGAAACAGACATATAGTTCATAAGACAGAAAATTCTTATTTTTTGTCGTACTATCACCCCTTGAATTTACGGGAGGTCTTTCTGAAACACCCTGTATATTCCGATTGCGCAGGACTATTTATTTACATATATTTACGATTTGTTTCTACAGCAAATGAATGGATTGCAATAAAAAGAGAATTGTCTTATCGCCCTACTCCTTATTACCGTACAGTTGTATAATTTGTATTTAACAAAACAGTTCCAAGAACGTAGCAAAGATCAAAATTCGGCTCGCTTGCGCGTGACGTCACACGGAGAGTAGTTTAAATGATTCATTAATGAAATTATGGTAATAGTTACAGTTACGTATCTAGTAAATAAAAATGGTTTTGAAATCAAAATAATTACGTGCCTCTGTTTTACAAATAATAAATTATTCTTGTACTGCTTTTTCGGAATTTTTCTTAGAATCTGACAAATCAATTGAAAGAAATTTACTAAGTACTGCCTTATTCGGTGTCACGTATTGTTATTTTTTTAAGATGGCAATTTCTGGAGCAAATTATGAATATAGTTCGATATTTTAGAATGCGAAAACCAATTCAATCATTTCCAGTGATAAATTCAAAACAGGCTTGGAAAACATGATAAATCCTTATCAAAGGATTTGTTTTGCAGCAACGCATTTCAAGACGTAGTTACTAATACACAATAATGTCAAAATTCACCACAGTGACTGTCCGACGCAAACAAAATCCACAAATAGCTGTTTAGTCTCCACACGACGTCATAACACCTTGGAAATATTCCTGATTCTCTTAACTCTTCCCTCTTATGCTTAATACATTGTAACCTGTCTCACCCACCCCGTATCTATCCACGGAACTTTCCTTACTCCCCCGGTAGTGCACCCGTGCACCGCCATGGTGCACCTTCCGCTTTGTCCGATAATTGTCACACGGCGGGCACTCCGCTGCGCTGCCCTCCCTTTGACCACGTCACTCAAACCGCTCTTCTTTTGTTCTTGCAGGCGGAAATGGCTGCCGCCGCCGCTGCGGAAGCTGTCACAGGGCAAAGTGGATAAAACACAGGCCGCGCCGCCGCCGCTCAAGAAGACCGGCTCCGACAAGAGGATCAAGGTAGGTTGTGCCCCGGTTATTGTCGTCTGTATGTTGTTAGTTGTCGCCGCCGCCTCCGATGGACAAATTGGTGTATCTGTTTCCGTTCGCGAAATGTGTGGTGTACCTCGCCGGTGTGGTCAGGCAGGTCAGGTCATGTTATTTGACATTATTTTATAGGTATTATTCATTACACAGAGATAGACTTGCTTCGATGAAGCTTGAAGAATTTCTAATTCCGGCTCTGGTTCACTTTATCGGAATGGGATTAATTAAAATACGTACCCAGTTGCGTACACGATATTCTTCCATAAAGAACGAACGCCATACCCCAAGGAATAATAACGCGCACTTACCTACCGGCATGTGAATGCGAAAAACCCATTCAAGTAATAAACAGCATGCGATTTGGCGTTAAAATTTCCTACGTGCAATAAATTACAATTTATCGCCTCATATTAATGCACCGCAATCGGGTCTAGACGATCTTGAGTTTGTAGTTCTCTTGCCAAGTGTTTCCAAAGCAAAAAAAAGTCAAGTGGTACAAAGCTTATGTTTAAATCTAAGCTAAGTACATGTTAAACTTAATAATATCGATGAAATATATCTTTTTCTTTTGAGTCGGTAAGAAATAGTTAAGGTTAGTTGCGGTGAAATGTTAAATAAGTTGGTTTTGTGGTCCTTCGACCCGGATATATTCATTCACTTGAATTAGTAGTTTTCATGAAAATCACATTAAAATCCCCCGATTGGAATTCAGGTACGCTTGGCCTGATTAAACATTGTAAAGCACCAGATTTTACATGTTTCCGCGCTTATCGCTCGTACTTCCGCTAGGCTGGTGAGTCAACTTATCTTTTTTCAGTGAAAACCGCGGAGATATCCCTGTTTCGATGAGTACTAGGTTTTAATTTAATTTTACTGTTCGATATCAGTCGGTTGTGTAATTTAGTGAAGTGCGTTGTTAGGTTATGTCGATGAAGAGGAAATTTCTTAGACGATTTTCGTCTTTGCTGAACAATGTACGTCACAGAAAAATTGATAGTTATATTTAAGGTGTATGAAGTGGTTGAGAAACGCGTTTTACTTGAAAATATTAAATAGAAATTCTAATTCTTTAGTTCCGGCAATACTTACAGATTTTTGTTATTGACCTGTGGGGAAGCCCCCAAAAATAACCAGTACGAATAACAATACAGAGACTAAAGCTTTTATCGAATGTCATGTTAGAACTAAGGAAATATCGAGATCATCATAGCATTCGTTAATTGTTAGATGATTTTTGGACTAGCTGGTAATTTCTGAAGATGACAGTCACGTCCTGTCGAAACATCAAGGTCTTGTAAACAAATAACATAGTCCGGAAGCCAAGTGATTATATTTTTAGCACTTCCAAATCCTTTATCGCTTACTTGTAGATCATACAAATATCTCTTACTATTTAGATAAATATTACATTTCAGAATCATAAAATTTACATTAACCTAACTAATTACTGATTGCAAAGAATCCTAAGTTACTTCCTCTATCAAAACATTGCCAAAATTTGTATATAAATGTTTTTTATGTTATATTTATTTAGAATACGTTATTAGAAACCATTTATACTTTTAAAATAAGTACTTACAAATAATTTCGACATTCAAATTCATAATGACCTGAATTTATTATTAGCTATTATATTATAATTTTATTATTCATTTTCTATCAACTAAAAAGTGTTGCTAAAACCGCAATCGCGACATAAATAAAGTAAGTGACATCATATATCTATCTAAATGTCTATATAAAACAAATATTTACATAGGCATATAATTTTAATTATCAAGAAAATATTTTCCGGCCCTAAACTATTGATATACGTCCGATTTAAATTTATTTTTTGCCTTAAATTTGTATACTACCTTACAACATTTGCATCCCAAGACAAGATGCTTACCTTACAAGTCACTGACTTTATAAAAGCCAATTTTTAATGTGAAGTTAAAAAGTTGATGTCCATCGCAGGGTAACGACTATCACAGGCGGAAACGGTTTATGTCGTGGGGTAGCGACGTTTACAGGCGGGAACATTTTATGTTTAAGGCGCAATTACAGTTGTCTTGGTTATTGTTACAGGTACCGTCCGATATGGGCAACAAGCCCTCGGTGTCGGAGGGCGAGGAAGACGAAGACAGACCCCCGCTGTCGCTGAAGGGCGCCAAGTCCCTAGGTGCGGAATTAGCCAACGGGGGCGAGGACGCGGATGAGGAATTGGAACTACCGCCGCCCATGAAACCCATCCAGGAGCCCATCCTAGTCACGTCGCCGCCCCCCGGAGTTCCCGGAGTGCCCGATATCGAAGAAAATCCGTGCAAGAGGGTGAGTTACAGTTGACTATAACTATCTTTAAAATCTATTTGCCATATGAACAATAGTTTAATGTTTATTGCTATATATGACAGGAAGGAAGTAACTTTACAAGTTTCTAATCACACGTTAACAATTTGTCCCCCGCAGGTCTCTAGCCTAACTTTAAAGTCGCTAGAGGGCGCGACGTCGGCAGATTTGGCCGAAATCGAGCAAATTGTAAAGGAAAGAATGGTGCGAATCACTTACAATTTTTCAGATTTTTATTTTTTGTTATTTTTGCACCCATATTGCATGAGTTAGTTTCACCACTGTACGATTTTTGGAATGGTTTAGTGAGAACTGTTATTTTCAGGTTGCCAGTAGAGATTTTTTTTGGCAAGTTTGTGCAATTTTCCCGAGGAACTTAAAGTAGCGATGGCTTTTTAGGAAAAGAAAATTATTCGCGTTGTTTGTGGTTATGCTGTGTTGTTTCATAATTTATGTTTTAGGAGTTCACTTAAGTATATAAATATTTTTGCATGAGCAAGTATTTTTGGTGAATCCACAGCTAGTTACCAGTTCAAATGTGAACAAAGTTATCAGAGATGGAACAATTAATTATAAAGAACTCGGCAACTAGCTTTATTTCCATAAGCATCCAGTAGAACGCACACCCAACTAAATTAGTCTCAACTGAACGTTTGTAGCATCCCTCACATTCTAAACGCTCGTAACCGATTTCAGGAACAACACTCCGAGAACCAAGAACGCAACTCCCTGATGCGCGACGCCAAGTCGGAGAACGCCATCTCCGAGTACGGGGACAACTCCAACGCCCACCGGGAACTGTCGGCGCAGTGCTCCTCCAACGAGGCGACCGCGCTCGCGTTTAGTGGCGACGAAAGTGACAAACCGTCGGAGGACATTGTGGACAGTGCTAAAAAGACGGAGATCCTGCTGAAGAAGAGACAGTACGTGCTGCAAGAGCTCATCGATACGGAAGAGGCGTACGTGCGCGACCTCTCGATGATAGTGGACGGGTACATCGCCGCGATAAGGGATCCCGACTGCGACATAGTCATGCCGGAGGACCTGAAGGACGGCAAGGATAAGCTGGTGTTCGGGAATATCGAGGTCATATACGACTGGCATAAAAAGTAAGTCACAAATGCTATGCTCGCTGTTAATTACTTATTAACTTTTTTTAACGTAAACTTAGCTCTTTGACAAATGTAAACGACTGTTAATGATTAACCAACACCGTTACCGATTATAAAGCCTCAGTACTCCGTACATGACGTCATTTCAGTGGTGACATGAACTTTCGACTAGATCCTTCGCATAGACGTATATTGGAGGTCGACAGTACACTTTATCATTAACGAAAAGCAGCAATAATACTATTTTTGACCAAACAAATTGTTCAATTCATAATTTGCCAATGTTTTATGATGCCCTTTTCCAGCTTCTTCCTAAAATCGCTGAAGCAAGCAGTAGAGAACCCGGTACAGCTGGCTTCGCTGTTCAAACGGTACGAGCGAAAGCTGCAAATGTACATCATCTACTGCAAGAACAAGCACGTGTCGGAGTACGTCGTCTCCGAGTACCTCGAGACCTACTTCGAAGACCTGAGGGTGAAACTTGGACAGAAGCTTCAGCTGTGCGACCTTCTCATAAAGCCCGTCCAGAGGATAATGAAGTACCAGCTGATGCTCAAGGACATCCTAAAATATACGGAAAGGGCCGGTTTGACGGCCGAAATCGAACCACTCAGGGCAGCTTACAAGATAATGGTTGTCGTACCGAAAACGGCCAATGATATGATGGATGTGGGTAGACTGCAAGGATTCGAGGTATACCTACTTCGTTTATAACCGGAAGTGATAAGTTTTAACAATTTTTTTTTAGGGTAAAATAACAGCGCAAGGAAAGTTACTGTTTCATGGTATCTTAACGGTATCCGACTACGGTCAGACCTCGGTGGTGGGGAAGAACAAAGATCTGCACGTGTTTTTCTTTGAACAAAGCATAATATTTTCCGAAGTAGTCGGGAAGAAGACGCAGTTCACTAGTCCGCAATACATCTACAAAGCTCACCTACAAGTGCGTATTTCGGGACCTCGAACTATTTCATGTTTACGCGGTCTGCTTTTTCAGGTAAACAAAATGAATCTGAAAACCGAAGAAGACTGCTTTATCCTGGAATCGACCGATCCCAAAAACACGAATCTGGGCTTCACGTGCCAAGCGGCCACCGACGAGCTGCAGGAGCAGTGGCTGATGACGATCCGCGACATCCTACAGACGCAGAGGGACTTCCTCAAGGCCATCCAGAGTCCGATAGCGTACCAGAAAGAGCTGACGAAAGAGGCGTGAGTATGCAATCTTGCCTATTTGGATTTGGGAACGTTGCGATGAGTTTGACACACTAACTCTGGTTGTGATTTTGTTTTAAAGATCTGACCTGTTCGGGGGTGTTTCACAAGGAGGCGCGCCTGGGGCTCCGACGCTCGCTTCAAACAAACACGAACGCGAAAGGGGGCTTTCCGTTGGGAATTGAGTCTGAGATATATAGTTTTTTCAATATCCTTAGAATATATTTTTTTAAAGGACAGACTAATTTATTTGCAAATTCACGTAAATTATTTTGTTGGTTTATAAATCAAAATTTTAAGCATTTTTGACAGAGTTTAGGTATGTCTAAAGCTTTAACAAACGCTTGCTTTTAATGCTTCAATAGCCAAAATAATCAGTGGTACTTTGAAATTAAAATACTAGATGGCGACTCTGCCAAGAAGTGGATCTTATTTGTGGAAGGGCGAAATGGGCGGTGACTATTAGACGTCTTCATTATAGCTATCTTTCTCTATCGCACGGATTTCTATGACTTTCTTTATCGCTCTCACGTAACGGCCGATGAACCATGGGGACTTTCCGACCCTGTATACACATTAGGGTGGCCCAAAAAAAAACGAATACTTTTTTTCGTGTCTCTTGTGAAAATATGTTAGTTTATCATGTTTTAAGAGCCCCCTCAGAAAATCAGCTCAAAAAAATTTTTTTTACACTATGAGAATTAAAATAATGAGATCCTTAAAATATCGATTTGAAATTTTCAGAATCGAGATTTTTTTCAACCTAAAAAATGATATAACGAGAAAAAAATTTTAAAAAAATTCAATTTTTGGCGATTTTGGCAATTTTTAAAAATTTTGAGCGACCTCTAAAAAATTTTTTTTAGCTGATTTTTTGAGGGGGCTCTTAAAACATGATAAACTAACATATTTTCACAAGAGACACGAAAAAAATAATTAAAAACTCTCGGATTGAGGTTCCGTAAATCGAAATAAGAAATTATTTGTACGTGGTGTAACTTCGAATGGGGGTTATATTCATAAGGTATGCGTTGTTGTCAAATCTCACTTTTTCTGATTGGTTTACATGTTTTTTTTTCATAATATCGTACATAAATTTGACAATGAAGACACACAAAGACACCGTATCGTCACTAAATACTGAAATAAATAAATATAAGGTTATATACTTAACACTACACAAAACAATTCATTAAATACAACTTTAAATTTTCCTATAAAATCAATCTCAATAAAATAACACTGTACTATACAAATTCTATTTCAATGCCAACTAACACTTAGAATGACACGAAATTGCCTACCGTACTACAAACCTTCTAAACACACAAACTAAAAACTAAAACAAATGTAATAAAATAAAGCAGTGTCACTTCGACCATTTTCGTTTCGCAGAATTTGCCCATCCGATGTCCTATTGTTATATCACATCAGGCGGATCGATATCACCTAAACTAAATCAATGTCAAAAATCCTTGTCAACTGAAATTTCACAAACTAAACACACTGTTTTTAAAAATACTAAAATAATTTTTGTTAAAAACTTGAAATGTTGAAAAATATTTAAAATCAATTAGTAAGACACACCTTTAAAAAACTGTCTCATTTAGTTACACCCTGCATAAATAATAATAACAATAATAATAATAATAATAATAATAATAATAATAATAANGACATAATAATAATAATAATAATAATAATAATAATAATAATAATAATAATAATAATGAAGTCATTAAAAAGAAATAAAAGTTGGTAAATTTCAAAAAAATTTTGTGTTGAGGTCCCGTAAATCAAAATGAGAAATCGTACAAAATTGAACACAAAAATCTTAATCTTTTGCTTTAAAACCTACAAAGTGTATGCATTTTTTCTATGATGGATTTTATGAATTTTATATATTTTGGTCTGAAGAAATAACTCTGCAGGGATTAAATCAAAAGTTTATAATAATCAAAATGTCATATTTAAACAATTAATCAAAACAAGGAAAATCTTATATCTGCAGTTGAGGAATACTTATAATAATGTTAATGTTGAGAATGACATTGAAAAAATACAACAATGAGGTAGTGAAGGAATTAATAATGGGTTCTAAATGTGAAAGGCTTCGCTATTGTTGTTATAACTGTTGTAGATGTCTAAAAAAATTATGCTTTCAATTAAAGATCATCTTAAAACATATAGAAATTTCGGTGGGGATTGTGTTTGCTTGAAACGAGCCATCCTAACATGTGATCTGCAATCAGAATCCGTTGTGAAGCATCCTTAAATTGTAAAATAAATGTGTACAAGTGACGCGCCTATCAGTTACTGCGATAGGAACACCACCAGATTCGGGAAACGGTGATGGGTACCGAATATTCACTTGCCCAACGAGGAGAATCAGTCGACCCGCTCTGTTTTGACAATTAAATTGATTTCTTTCTCGATATTGTGAACGAGCAGAAGGGCATGTTTGTTATGTAATGTATTACTTTAATTTTTGGATTCGATGAAATTCTACATGTACGATACCACTTACGAATCTTGCAATTTTCAAGTAGGCACCTCTACATCTTCACGGGTTACAATCACGTCATGCTCTGCTCCTTGGAAGAAAATGGTAGAAACGCGTCTTTCCATTTTTTTTTCGCCCACTTTCCGTGTTGAAAAATCCGATTTCGTCTCTCCCACCCACGCTCTCAATCATGTGTTACAAATACATCCAAAAAAAAAAAGAACTGTCGCGATGATATTCCTTCTGATTTTTTGGCACCGAACATGGGAGGGGAAACATACATTCCAATCGGCAGATTGCGCCGCCGCCTATCTTCTACCATTTTCGTTTTGATCCTCTACTTGATCTTCTTGCTCAAATACATAAATAATATATATATAACGCTGTCATAGATGAGCGCTCATCAATAAAATTGATGTAAATGTTTTTATTTTTTTGATATACGATGATTTATTGATGGGTTAGGCGAATCAAAAACTATTTTTCTGTACCTTTATTGTATTGTCTAGCTGTAACTTTGGGGAGCATGAGCGTATTGGTGCATTTTTCATGTCACGCCATTGGTATTATGCCACCTTTATCCGGGGCCTTGCGAAACGCCGGTTATTCACAAATTTTTCAAGTCGTCCGGTCACACTCGTGTCTCGAAATTCACAACCGTAGGAGATACCAAATCAAACGTCACTCGTTCGCATTTCGACGATGTCGATCAACGTTTTTGGAAAATTTGATGTACTGGTGTCTCGCAGGTCTCGTCGTAGCTGTTCTACATTGACAATTTATTGATGAATGAATTGACGAAGTTCTTCATGAATTAATTCACGAATTTATTGGTGTGGTTTTACACTGCTACAGGCTTTGTCAAGTTTTTTGACGCATGAATCAGTTCTACCAACGAATCAAAGCAAATGAATTTCAAAAATGTTACCTTTCCACTCATAAGTGTAGTGATACGACAGCGGTACCGTTTTGACACATATTATAACGAGCGTTCAAATAAAAACGTGGTCAAGTTGGTTCTGAAAATTTGGACGTAGGGCGTAGCGTGTAGCAAATGAACTTAAACGTCATCTGTCAAAGCGCTATATCGCCGCTTTGTTATTGAAACTGACCACAGATCAAGAAAAGACCATAGATACATAATTTATACCACAGATCAAGAAAAGACCATAGATACATAATTTATACATATGTGGCTTGAAGCCAAAATAGTTCATCGGAAGGGTGAGGAAGTTGTGTTTACATTCCCTCAAGGGCAGTGGCGTATCATTTTATAGGGGCTGATTGCAACTAAAATAACAAGTTTAATAATTATAATTATAATGATACATTTCATCATACTCTTAAGCTGTTAATTAATATGATTTTCACGAGATTTTAACAAAACAAAGTATTTAAATTCCATTTGGGTAGGTATATCCTAGTTTTAATTTTAATAGCTTATGACACGGTGTAAAATTTGGTATCAACTCTTACATAGAATTTATAAAATTTGTATATAGGAAACTAAAAGATTGACCATATTTTAAAATTATAATTCATTTTTATAGAGTCGGTCCATTAACCCTTCCTATCACAAACACATATGTGTGAATTTATATAAAAAACTAAAAATTAGAACAGGTTTAAATATATATTTTATATAGAATTACATGTAGATTTTTACATTGCGTGTTACGGCTATATTACTGGAGTTAAAGTTTGTCCCTAATAAAGCTGTCAATTGGTTTATTTTTTAGGTTGTCTCTATCGAATGAATGTTATGAATGAAAAAAGACAACCATATTACTCAAATAGAAATTTATTGATTATGAAATAAAATATTTTTTGTTAACTTATGCTTTATCCTAAGAATATTATCCTGCATTTTATTACAAAAGTGGTCAGAGCATATATAGGTATATATAGATATTGTTTCTGTATATGGAATTCCTAAGCTTCTAAACCACTGTCTTCTAATTAGAAGATTTTTCGGAAATCTGTAACATATAAAAAAATCTATTAAATGTTTTACGCCTTGGTTTATCTGATTTACTAATGCTTTTTGGCACTTAAATTTTGTCAAAGCGAAATATTTAAATTTAACCCCAACAGCTTGTTTTATTGCTACGTCTATGATTATTGTTACTTATGGAACGATCGTTGATTTTGTTTCATTTGGTACATATTGCAAATATAGCACTTCTTCGGCATTGTTCAACACTTTTTTCACTGGAAAAAATCTTACTAACAAGCACGAAATCATTAAAAACGCAAAAACATTAGATTACACTACGAAACACAACAATGGCGAACTCGAATTTTCTGGAAAATGTCAAAATTTGAGCGTAAAAGTGGTGCGAAACTTAAATGAACCAATCACAACACGGGGAATAGTAAATATAAACATGAATCATTTGAGATTCAAACAAATACCCTGAATTATTTATCTATGTCTTTTCTTGATATGTGGTGTCAGAGCCAACTTCGACCACGTTTTTATTTGAACGGTCGTTATAAATATTAGTTTTTGTAAGTAACAAATCAGTAAAAACAATGCAAAACTAGTACGTCACACAATTATTTACATATTCCAATAACATAACCTCATTTGGTACTTCCGAACTTCACGAAGAAATTGACGAAAATTAGAACATGCTCCAATCCGTCAAGAACTTGATGAATAAATTCATGAAGTTATTTGACAGCAGATTTGGTGCATTACACTTGTCCAATTTCTCGATGAAGCGACTTCATGAATTAATTGACCAATAAATTGTCAATGTAAAACAGCTATGAGCCAATAATACTCTTTTTAAAATCCACACAAGTGAGATATGTGTTATATTATTGTATTATTATTGTATTAATTATAAGTTATACATGTACATAGAATGTATGTTTGTACATAAACATATTCATTGATAAGCGATGGAATACAAATTTTCAACAGAATAAATTATGAAACAAACGAGATGGTTTTTTTTACCGAAAACCCCAATCATGCGTTCCCAGTTTTTTTCACTTTTCGTTTATCCGCTTATCGTTTTGTTTGAACCATTTATTTTACAATTTTTTTTTTGCCTTTTCTTCTGGTTGCGTGCTTGGATTTTGGCTTTGCTTTTGCCTTTACTTCTGCTTGAGAGAGATGCTACTAACTTTTAACAATAATTACTAATGTGAGGATGTGGAATTTAATTTTTTGGATGTTTGGAACACAAAATATTTCACAAGTTTTATTAATTCACAACAAAGGACAATAAAAATTATACTTTGGGCAAATTCAAGAGTTAAACTTTATGTATTATCTAAAAACGCTCAAGAGTTGGCTGTCCTTTTAGTACAAATAATTCATCCTTAGATGAGTGTATGTTTTTTTAAATCATTCGAAATTTACAAATAATTGAAAAATTCTCAATGTAAGTGGCTAGAAAAATAATTACCTTACATTTTAATATCCCCACATTCACAGGAAACACGATAAAAATCAAAATAAAGTACTTGACTCAAAAAAAAAATCCATAAGAACAAAATTACTTGCAAACTAAAAACTTCCTTCACATTTAACATTTCCCTTCAGCCATTAACAAAACCACCGGCTTTAACCGCTTGGCTTCACAGAACTCGATGCACTGCTTTGACCCTCCCGCTCTTAGATTTATTTTACGTTTTTTTTTTCATCACTATTTCTTTACATTCCCCCAGTTCCCTATCCGACATATCAATGTGGGACACAACGGCCCTCAGAAAAGCCATCCCACCGGTAGACCCATCCGAATCCAACAAACAAACCCAAAGAAAGCACACTCATTACATTCACAAGGCGAATACCATCGGTATCCCTTCTGAAAGCGAGCTAAGCGAAGGTAGCGATACCAGGGTCAATCACAGACCCAGGAGAAACATCTTCGGGGGCCTGAAAAACACGCTGAGGAATAAACACAAAAGCGACACCGTCATGCTGGATGCCGGTAAGGACGGGGACAAGAACGACTTGCATCGAAGGTGGTCGGAAAACGCCCAACCTACGGTAAGCATGTTTAGTTCTATTTAGGCACTTCTTCGGGAATGATTTTTTTCAAAAACGTTTTGAGCAAAGTTTCTAGTATTTTGGATCACAGATTAGATAGTGACCTTAGATTGGACCTAAAGCTGATGATATGGAGTGGCCTTTTGTCAAATTTTAATTACTAGTTTCAGTCAAATGTGTATATTATGTTATTTTACTTTTATATCCATTATTTTTTATAAAAAATTATTTTGACCTTTAGTTGACCTTCTAGGGCAACTTGAGAAGGTCAAATCAAAGGTCACCATCTAATTTGAGGCTCTGTCGATTGCTGGCATAAAAAATAGGGTGTCCCATTTAATATTTTGTTGATCTTGGTTTAATTTTGAATATATTGATGCCGTATAACTTTTATTTCAAAATTTTTTGATAGAACTCAATCTTGAAAAGTTACCGAAGGTTTCGGTTATTTTTGGGGACACCTTGTATATGCAAAACAAACAATCTCTACGATATCCCCGTTTTAAGAATTTTCTAACACTCGATACTGTTTTTGAGTAAAAAAATTCTCGAACAAATCAACATTTCCTTTGCAATATATTTATAAAATCCAAATTAAAGTTGATTTGTTCTCGAATTCAAACGATGGCCTGTTTGACTCTGAAGCATGATGATTTTCCTTATTACTGTAACTCGTATTCTCTCTAGGTGTTATAAATGAAAGCTTCAAAAAAAAAACCAGTAAACTAACCATTGACAAAGGCTGTGATATTACTTTATGTAAAAAAAATACGTCGTGAATAATTATTTGCTACTTAAAATACAACCGTAACGAATTGAAATGGGAATTTTTGGAATGCCGCTCTACATATTTTGATCGAAATGGTGAGCATGATAGCCAAGCTTCTGTTTGCTTTTTTTTTGTCGTTCCTAATCCGTTCACAAGAATCGTTGCACTTAACACAAACTTACAAAAAAAATATTAAGTAATTGAGATCATATCATTTTGTGAGGGGCTTTTTTTAATTAACACTTTCTTTCAATGCAGAGTAATAATTTGCACTTTTCACTTAAATCATCTTTGGTAGTTTGGAATGTGGGTTGTTGTATTTTGGGTTGTATTTTAATTAACTGTTGTTTTTTATCGCTTGCAATGCTCTGTTTAACACAAAATATATTTTTACTCATACACATTACACATTTTAATATAATTTAGAACGCAACTTAGTTCACGTTTAATATACAGGGTGTAACACAATTGTGTGCCAAAAATGAAAGAGCGTATTCCTTTTTACTTTATTTTAAAGGTACTACTGCTGACGATTTATAGACAAGAAATCATACTTTGAATAAAACAAAGACAAAACAAGAAAATCCATCTAAACTATACAAACGTTGAAATACAAGGAAGGATTCCGTTAATATTCCGTGGTAAAAGGTCCTGGAAAACATGGGCACCCGTGTAAACATCAGAATGTACTTTATATCTTTAAATTTGAATGGGAAAAACGCAGCCTCATTTTTAACACATTGTGTGTGTGCCCTGTATTGTTTTTAAACAGTTATAATTGAACGTAAAATGTATTTTATCGACCACATTTTCAGTGCGACATTCACGTAATGGCCCCGGGCACCCAAGCTCGCCTAGTCTGTGAATGGCCAGACCTAAACTTGGGGGAAATAGTAACGATCGTCCGTTACGACGCCACGCAAGGCTACCTTGTCCGCATCAACGCTACCCTGGAGGAGATGTGGGTACCGGCCCACGTATTATCCAATTACAACCGTAAACCCTGGTCGTTCAGGTTCAGGAAAAACAGCAGACGTCTCATCGACAACACCACCATACAAGAAAACTCCTCGTCCGAGGGTGCCTTACCGGAATTCCGCGACAGGCTCAAGGACATAACGGTTCAAAGCGGCACAAAGGTAGTTTTAAAATGCAAGGTGAAGAACTGCGGGCAAGTCGTGAAGCAGAATTGGAAAAAGTTGGAGCCGAATCTGTGCATTTTGAGGAACGGGAAGTTCCTGGAAGGAGAGGGAGACGAAGGGGTGGCGATTTTGAGCATAGAGAACGTTAAAGTATCGGATTCCGGTACCTACTCGTTTACCATCACCAACGAGTTTGGCTCGGTGTCCTGTTCCGCCGTCCTAACGGTTACCAATAACTACCCACCCCTGCCGGAGCCTAAGATTCAGGTTATCTCCTGCACCAGCGTCTTGCTCGAATGGGAGAGCGAGAGTTACACCCAATTCGTGGTCGAGTACTGCAGGCTCGGAACGGGCGAATGGATATCGCCCAACAACAGCCACCCGGTGAACAGCCAATCGTTCACCGTAGAAAACTTGATCCCGGGCGAGACCTACAGCTTCAGGATAATGGCGACGCAGAATAAGATCGTTAGCTTGCCGAGCGTTGCGGTAACGCTGCCCCTGGCGGATAACCTGAGGTGGCAGCAGGAGCAGTTCAAGAGGAGGTACATCGAACTCGAGGAGATCGACAGGGGGAGGTTTTCCGTGGTTCGTTTGGCAAGAGACAGGGGTACCGGTGTGGAGGTGGCCTTGAAGCAAGTGACGAGAAGGAAACAACCGCATCACGTTACCCAAGCGGAGTACTCTCTGTTGGCGGGGATGCAGCACGTTAATGTTATTAGGTCTTTGGCTTTGTTCGATAACGCGCCGTTGCCAGGGATCGATACCATCGTCTTAGAGCTGTGAGTATTTTTACGTTTACTTGCAGTCCCAAAAATGTTGTCTATGTTAATGCAGAAATTAGACACATTTTGAAAGTGTTTAGTATCTTTTAAATTGAAATTAACTTATTTTCAGTGTTTGCAGTTTGCAAAATTTACGGCAATCATTTTTGGGGTAACTATATTGGTTTTCAAAGATCAGAACCTTAAGTTTCAAATTTCTAAGCAAACTGTAAATCCAGAACTCATAATTTTCCACATTTTTAGCGTGAAAGGGCCACTTCTCTTCAAATNTATTTTAAATTGAAATTAACTTATTTTCAGTGTTTGCCGTTTGCAAAATTTACGGCAATCATTTTTGGGGTAACTATATTGGTTTTCAAAGATCAGAACCTTAAGTTTCAAATTTCTAAGCAAACTGTAAATCCAGAACTCATAATTTTCCACATTTTTAGTGTGAAAGGGCCACTTCTGTTCAAATATATTTGTGAGAAGGACCAATACAACGAAGCAGACGTAAGAGCTTACAGTCGTCAGTTGATGTCAGCCTTACACTGGTTACACCAATACAATATTGCGCATCTCGATGTGAAGGTAAATTCCTTATATTTTTATGTAAGTAACTGTCAAGGAACCTTAATATTGTGAGATCCTCATTAAGAAATTTAATCAAAACAGCACTACGTAATTTTTTTGAATGAATATAACTCATTTTTATGCAGCATGCTTTAAAGTAATTTTCCACGCAGCCCGAAAACGTGATGGTCGACCTATCCCCGCCCGCCCCTCTTCTAAAACTCGTCGACTTCGGCGACTCGGTGAACACCTCGAAGAACGTCATCTTACCGCCGGCCTGCCTAGAATTCGCCTCCCCCGAACTGGTCCTGGGCCAGCCCGTAGGGAAACACACCGACTACTGGGCGGCGGGTGTATTCCTCTACGTCCTACTCAGCGGGGTTTCCCCTTTCCTCGACGACTCGATGGAAGAAACCACCGCCAACATCCTCAAATGCGATTACTGTTTTCCCGACGAGTATTTCCAAGGTATTTCCGGCGAGGCCAAGGAACTGATCGGCAAGATGCTGGTTTTGGTGCCGTCGCAGAGGATGGATATGGACCGCTGCCTGGACTCCGTGTGGATGAAGAAGGTAAGACGAACAGATAAATTGTGGTTCGTCGTGGGAAAAGTATTAGGAACGGTCACTGTTACTCAGTGCTTGGGACTTCGAGTGGCCAAACCACCACAGCTGTTTACTGGGCATTGCGTATATAAATCAGGGCTGCTCGGAGCATTAGTCGGCAGAGTAGTTGTTTTAATAATTTTGATTACAACAAATTTTGTTCCTCAAAAACATATTTTTAGGTTCAAATATCTCGGAAATGCGATTTTTTTTTAATTTTAGCACCGCAAGAATTATCTGGTGCTTAAAATGGGTTTTCCAGTTTTCAGAGGTCCTGTTATCGAAATGTTTTGCTAGAATTAAAGTTCAGTTGCCGTATAAAATTTTTTTTGCATGACAGTTATATTTCTTCTCATTTTTAAGATTTCAAGCCGGGAACTTTTGAATCGAACACGGAAATCTGACTACACCACTGGATTCTTTATCCTGTCAATGCGAATTGTACCAAATTTTGAGAAGAAATATTCAATAATTTTTAATTTTAAAGGATGAACCGATTACGAATAACGCAAAAAAAAAACATACTAATAATGACATAAACACGTACACATAAATTGAACCATAACCTTACATTTATTTTTTATTATTTGAAACTGCACATTACAGAAAAACACAGTTATGTGTTTATCCCAATGAATACTTTTTCACGAAATACGGTACAAACGGTGAGGAAGTGTAGAATTCAGTAGGATAGTCAAATTTTAAATAAAAAATGCGCAAATTTTTTCAAATTTCATGCTGAAAAAAAGACGAGACCAACATTTTCAAAGTGGCTATAAAGTTGCTGAAAATGTACCTTAGCCGAAAGAAAACTCCACCAAAAGCGGATTTACCGCCTCAATTATGGAATAGGGCACACTTTTGATTTTTTTCAACCAAATGTTTAAATTTTCAGGAAGACTCCTCCGTCGTCATCCCATCGTCCCGTCTGAAAACCTTCATGCAACGCAGACACCCCATGAACGTCGCCACAAGCCCGACTAGTCCCGTTTACTACAACGAACACATGTTTTAACCGACTCCCGTTTTGAGTGTATCGTGTCTTACGCTGTATACTGTTTAGTATGTGATATTTGTACATGTTAGTTTTATAAAACGTAACAAAGATTTGTTTTAGAGACGTAGCATATCGTAGTTTTTTTTTCCATTTCAGTTCATCGCCTAATGTTAGATTACGTGACGAGCACTGTACATTTTATTATTTAACACGTGTGACTGTTAACTTATTGTAGTTATATTACGGATTTGTAAATATGGACATTAAAAGTATTTTATTAAAGGCTTCTTTTATTTCGCATGCGATCAATCGGTTAAAAAATATATATTTTATTGGCAGTATTTTTACTCTAATTTGAGAAGAATGAAATAACCCAATATTTTCTTCTGAAATACCACAATCAAATTTTGATGGTTTTTAAATAGAAATGGAACAATTTAACATGTAAAACCGCCATTTTTTGGGACAAATGAAACAGTCCGTTGCGGTACTTGGTCAATTTAGGGTCAAATTATACAGAATTTTCATTAATGATTACAAGTCACACCTAGCTTAGGCAACCAACATTGCGCTGCTGGTACCGTCAATTAAAAATACCTAATTCTTAGCGTCACCGATATTAATGATAGCGTCTACGCTCGACAAAATGCAATTGCTGATTGGTGGAATGGAATCACGTGAAAAATTACACCGGTGAAAGCAATAAAACAAATTTGAATTTTTAATGCGTTTTTTCGCAATTAATTTCAATTTTCACTTAGTCTGAAGAGATTATTACGCAATAACCCAAGATTTTCATCTAAAATACTACTAAAGTTTTACATTACAACAAATTTTGATTTTTTTTATAAATAGCACAGATACTTATATCAACCGCTTGAGCAAACGAAAAAAATCAGTTGTGTCAATCTAGGGACTTTAATCACTGTTCCCAGATTCTTAAGGTGGCCATATTCCTGGCCGAGAAATAGTGAAATTTCTGGCGTTTTTAGGTACTGAAATCTTTAAAAGTAAAACGTGTAGAACAAAAGTAAGCACAAAAATGAAATCCTTGATGTTTTGTTTATTGATTGTTACCATTTAAATTTACTCAAATAAAATAATAAGTAAAAAAAACGTTTGTAAAACATGCGTTTGCTGTTATTCTAACCCCACATTTTAAGAATTATTTTCACGTACTTATAAATAAAAGTAAACAATTTTATATGTAGGACTAAGCAAGTAAATGTTATAAGAATATTTACATGTGGAGTTATATATAAAAAAGTTAGTATTTTCGTAGATTTCAGTACCTAAAACCTTGACGGTTTGATCGTTTTTTGCACCTGTTTATTCGTTTTACTGCGGCGTCTTTGAAAATACTCAGGTGGTATGACATAACATTCCTATTATTTGATAAGCTTTAGATTATTCAGTTATTAAATGTTTGAAATTATTTGTCTTTGCGGAAAACACTATTTAAAGAATATGGGGCCCTTAAAGTACCTACCATAATCACGAGCCACCTTCGCACGTAAGATATAAAGAACACGAGGGTCTGTCTAAATGTTGACATTAATTTTAAAGAAAGTTAGGCCGTCCGCAATCAGAGGGCAGTGGAATCGGCACCATCAAATATAAGACCTCTTTGATGCAGAGATGTAGCGTATAGGTGATGGGGTGATTTGAAATAAATATTGAATTATATTGCGCCCTCTGATCTTTCAAATATAGGATATAGGGGATGTTGCAGAAAATCACGTTAGATAACTAAATATACTTATCTACCCCTCCCTTTGATCCTAAATTTAAAGTACCTGTACTCTGTACATTATTTTTTTAAATTCTTTAACTTTGTTTTAACGAATTTAACAATATACATATGTAAAATAATATACAGTATGTCCACGGTTAGAGTGGAAAAGAGGGAAAATATTTTTATTTTTCATTTTACGAGAAAAAGACATTAAAATTTTTGCTGGTCTTTAATACTCCGGTTGGCAAGGAAAACTTTCATGTGATCAGAAAATCGGTAAATATAAAAATCGTTCAAGAATAAACTGCCTTTGTTTTAACAATACAGAAATATATTATTAAGGAAAGTTGCTTAGAACAGAAATTTTTATTATAATTTCAATTTGTGTATGAATCAGCCTACTTTGATAGAAATGGGTAATAAAACATTTTTATTGTTCATTTTACGACAAAAAGGCATTCTTGATTAAAATTTTTGCTCGTCTTTAAAACGCGGTTGGCACGAAGAACTTAAATCTTGCATGTACAGGGTGATCAGAAAATCGGTACCTAAATATAAAAATCGTTCAAGTATAAATTGCTTTTTGCTCATCATTCAAATATAATTTGCATGAAGAAATTTAGTAATTTTGCCAAAACGTTGTATTAAATAATTGTTTTCCTGCAACGTAAACATAACGAGCGTTCAAATAAAAACGTGGTCGAAGTTGGCTCTGACACATTGGACGTAGGGAGTAGCTTATAGCGACCAACTTAACCTCATTTCTCAACGAGCTGTATAGCAGCTGTCAGTTTCAATAACGTTAATGACTATATAACTTTATTTTAAAGAATAATCGTGATAACAATAACAAACAATTAAAGGAGCTGCGGAAAGTGTCCCCCTCCTTGTTATAACAATAAATTAAAGCAGCTGCTGAAAGTGTCCCCCTCCTTGTTCCAAGCACTTTTCACACCTGTTCCTCAAAGAATTAAAGACATTTTCTAAGATGCTCGGGGTATTGTTAATTTCACGAATCTTGTCTATAAGTCGAGCCTGCAGATGGTTTAAATCAGGAATAGGCAGTTCAAAAATAGTGTTTTTAAGGTAAGGCCACAAAAAGAAATCACACGGCGTAATATCACATGACCTCGGTGGAAATTCATGTTCAGCATTGAGACTTATTAGTCGATTTTGGAAAACTTCCCTCAACATATTCATCGTCTCGCCTGCCGTATGTGCCCTTGCGCCATCTTGTTGAAAGTAAAAGTTTGTAATTTCGTTTTCTTCCAGCTGGTTAACAAAAGGAGCGATAATTTCTTCTCTATACCTTTGCGCAGTAAGAGTACCATTAAAAAAAATAGGTCCATAAATCCTCCTTCGATTGAGAGCACACCAAACTCCAATTTTTTGAGCGTGTAGAGGGCCCTCGACAAAAAAGTTATCTGGTTTTTCAGAAGACCACATTCTCATATTCTGTGAGTTTACGTAACCACTTAAATGAAACCAGGCTTCATCAGAAAAAAAGGTGATATTATGAAGTTCACCGTAGTTGTTTAAAAACCATTCACAAAATACAGCCCGTCGCGGAAAATCAACTTCATGAAGTTCTTGCTGACAAGTTAAACGATAGGAGAACAAACGCAAATCTTTTTTTAACACTGTGTGGCAGGTACCGACTGATACTCCCACCATTTGTGATAAAACACGTACAGAAGTTCTTGGCGCATTTTCCATTATTTGTTGGACATTTTCTTTTAATTCTTCAGTCCGCTTTTTAGGTCGGCCGCTTCCTTCTTTTCTTGTTACACTGCCCGTTTCACGAAAAACATTAACACAACGCTGAACTGCACTTTGAAAAATTTTGTACTCAACAACGCCGGGAAATTGATTTTGAAATTCTATGAAACATTCCTCAATAGAATACTTCCATATTCCATCAATCTTGCGTCCATTTCTAAAGTAGGACTCTATGATAAACACTTTTTGTTCTTGAGAAAACACCATTTTAAACGCTTTTTAAAACGAAAATATTCAAATTGATAGCGGCGATATAGCGCTTTGACAGATGACGTTTAAGTTCATTTGCTATACGCTACGCCCTACGTCCAAATTTTCAGAACCAACTTGACCACGTTTTTATTTGAACGCTCGTTATTAAGCATATCTGTCACTATTACTCAAAAACCCTATCACTTTTCGTCATGATGGTTGTTCTCAAACTTTTTCATTCTCCATTCTTCCTGATTTTCCAAATTCTCGTTTTTAAGGCAAAAAAGTGTATATTATTAGTATCGTAAATTTCCTCTTTTGGAAACATGCACAAAATAATAACGAAAAAAGAATCCCCGACTATTATTCGCCGTATATTTCAGCAAGGCCACCCCAGTTTTTATTTTTCCCGAGTAATAAATCCCCTAATCTAACCTAACGTCGGACAGAGAAAGGTGCGTCCAAAACCCCGCTCCGCCCCGCCGCTCCGAGCGTCCCCCGGCAAAAATGCGGCTGCCGCTGCGGCGATCTCAAGGTCGAGTGGCGGACGTCACGTGGCGCGCCAGAGTCCGACCCTGGATTTAACCCCGAGAGAAAGAAAGCGAGCCAGTTCGATCAATAAAGCCCGAAAATAGGCCGGGCGGAGCGCGCCTGTTGCTAGGCAACCCACTCTACTGGCATGACACACTGACACCCTGAATTATATAAGCCCGCGAGAGGGACTCCATGAATATTTCAGCGGGCGCTGCCGGGCAGGTGGGGAGCCTTTAGCATTAGCGGTTTTAAGGGATTGCGTCCCATTAAAAAGCCTACGAATGGGTGCTCACTAGAAGCAAATTATAATTAGCGAGAATTGGTTGCAACTGTCACTATTATGCATTTATCGTAACGGCGTCGTTATGGAAAACTTTCAGAACCGATTACTCTCTTCAAAACGTAGAGATTTTTCGTCAAATTAATTATTCCTAAGGGCTTGTATAAACATCGTTGGGAGTATTAGATTCAGGACAAGAGGAAGTCAGGCCGTTGGCGGCTAGGTGGCAGCAGCCACGAGCCATGAACCTCAAACAGAGGTGATTGCAATGCCCTCTGGATCCTGACAAGTGTCATAATTTGTGGACAAATGTCAGTCCTAACTTTTACTTAATAAAATAACTTTAAACAAATTTGTACTTTAAACTTTCATACATAAAATAATCTGATAATTTGTCGCTATATCGCTCACTGTAACATCCTGTAGAGATAGATTTCGCAACATACATAATTAAAATATTTAAATTGACTCGGATCGACGGCCGGTGTAGTGTGCAGGACCCTTAACTGTTGCTCCCGGCAATGATTAAACTCCTATAAATAATTTGAGAAATAGTGGGAAACAAGCAGCTGACGTTTGGGTTAGGGAATTCTTGAAATATCTCCACAATTGTAACATCCCTTTGTTGTGAGTTGGAGAATGAAACGCCTCAACTTTTGATATGTGGCTACAAGACATGCCATCAAATCATCCTGCGCGGCATTGTTTCATTTATTTCAGCAGAACAGAGCCCAACAATAGTGGTACTTTGTTGAATTGTGG